AGTGAGTACTGAGCAGCACATGCAGGTAAGAAAACTACCAGAGATGGAGCAAAGAACTATTGGGAAGAATTAGAGATAACAGTGCCCAAAGCTCACAAAGATCTGGCACAATGCTTCTTTCCACCAGCCAGAATGAAATACAAAAAATCTAGAAAAGCCCGGCCGATGTGGCTCAGTGTTTGAGTGTCAACCCATGTACCAAGAGGTCACTGCTTTGATTCCCAGTCAAGACACATGCCCACGTGTGGGCCCGATCCCCAGTGTGGAGCACACAGGAGGCAGCCAATAGATGTTCTATCTCTCTCTCCTTCTCCCCTCCTCTCTAAAATCAGTTAGACTTCAATGTAAAACCTAAACTTATAAAACTCCTAGTTGAAACATAGAAAAAAAATCTTTGGCCCTGGCCGGTATTGCTTAGTGGTTAGAACATCGGCCCACGGACCAGAAAGGCCCAGGTTCGGTTCCCGCTAAGGGCACATACCTCGGTTACAGTTTGTCCCCAGCCCCGGTTGGGGTCGTGTGTGTGGCAACCACTCAATGTGTCTCTCTCACATCAATGTTTCTCTCTCTCTCTTCCTCCATCTCTCCCTCCCGCTCTATCTGAAAATAAATGTAAAAATGTCCTCGGATGAGGATTTAAAAAAAAAAATCTTTGTACCTAGGTTTAGGAAGAGTTACAGTGTATAACATCAACAGCATAATCCATAAAAAAAAAATTAGATTTTATTAAAATTAGAAACTTCTGCTCTTGAAAAGACTATTAGGAGCTGAGAAGATGAACCAGTGGTTGGAAGACATCTTTGCAAAATCTAAACTTGTAACCAGAACACACAAGGAATTCTCAAAGCTCTACAATAAGAAAACAACTCAATTAAAAAAGGCAAAAGTTAGAAGACACTTCACCAAAGAGGATACACAAATGGCAAATAAGCATGAAAAGATGCCCAACATCATTAATCATTAGGAAAATGCAAATTAAAGCATTCTGATACTATTACATACTTATTAGAATGACTGAAATAAAGATTAATAACCATACTAAAAATTGACAAGGATGTAGCAAAACAGACCCTATCATACACTGCTGGTGGTTTAATGTAAAATAATACCCTCATTTTTGAAAGGTTAAACACATATGTATCATATGGTCAAGCCACTCAATTCTTGTAAATTTTTACTCAAGAGAAAAGAGAATATATGTCTACAATAAAACTTGAACAAAAATATTTATAGCAGCTTTATTTATAGAGCAAAACTGGAAATAACACAAATGTCCATCAAATGTGGTGCATCTATGCAATAGAATATTATTCAGCATTAAAAGGGAATAAACTATTGATCCAACAATATGGATGAACCTTGAAATAATTATGAGTAAAAAAAGACAAAGAATACATATTGCATGATTCCATTCACACAGAACTCTAAAACATGCAAACCAATCAACAGAGCCAGAAAGCCAATCAACAGTTGCCTGGAAGAAATGAGGGGATTACAAAGAGATACAAGGAAACTTTTAGATGTGATGAACACGTTCATTCTTGATTTTCACATGCAATATGTGTTACATGTGACCAAACTTACCAAATAATACACTTTAAAAATGTGCAGTTTGTTGTATGTCAATTACATTTCAATAAAGCTGCTAAAATATAAATTGTAAAGAGGTTATTATCAAAATATATTGTATTCGAAGACATAAAACTTAACACAATAAATGTTAAGGCACACCTTACGTCTTCGATTTTTTTCATCATTATGTTGTAGTTTTTTGCACAGCATACAGATCATACAGAGAATAGAATGACAGCTGTCAGAGAGGAGATCATGCTCATGTTTTGTTAGCTTAATATGTATGTATTATATTATGTATTACTTTGGTGCTATTAATGCAGTTTTTTAAATTTTGATTTCCAATTGTTCAAACTTATTTATTAAATCCCAGGAGCTTTTGTGGATTTTATGGGATTTTCTACAGAGATAACCATGCTGTCTGAGAACAGTGAGTTTTATTTCTTGGTTTGTAATCTGCATACCTTTTACCTTTCTCACTGGGTTGGACTTCCAATAAAACGTTGAATAGGAGTGCTGAGAGTGGACCCCTTGCTTTAGTCCTGATTTTCTCTATTGTTTTTGTGTTTTCTTATTTTGCATACATTAATAAAGAATTTAATAACTATATTTTTATAATTGGTTTCCTTTATAATCTTGTGTATTTTATACATTTAAAATACATTAAATCTTTTAAAATACAAATAAAACATTATTCTAAGGAAGTGTTCACAGGCTTCTCCAGACTACTGAAGGTGCCACGACAAATTATCCTGCCTCCATCTTACAAAGCACCCCTTTTTCATCAGGGTCTCTAATAATACCCCCTTCATACATGCATGAAGTGTCACCCTCTCCATGGTTATAAAGCTTACAACCAGAACAGGGAAATGTATAGCTTTTTTTTAAAAGCACTAATAATAATTGTTTATGTTTACTAGATAGTATAGTCCATATAAAATTAAATCTATCAAATAAACATTCTATCTAGCCACATATACAGAGAGACCTTAAATTAAATACAATGTTAAATGAAATGTATTTTCTGAAACTAAAAATATCAATCTCAATTATGTCTCAAATAAAAAAGAGTTTAATGAAAATATCTGAAAAATTATCTTAAGCTGCTAAAACTGTGTGAAAAAATATCAAGTTTACTTTTGTTTTCTAAATCCTATACTGTTCACACATTGCAATATCTCATTTAAAAAGTAAAAAACAGAGGATCTCAAATGATGAGAAGATAAAAAAAAGTTGTGGTACATTTACACAATGTAATACCATTCAGCCCTAAAAAAGAAGTAAATCTTACCTTTTGTGACAGCATGAATGGATCTGAAGAATATTATGCTAAGCTAAGTCAGTCAGTCACAGAAAGACAAATATTGTATGATTTCACTTACATGTGGGATCTAACAAACAATAAACAAACAAAATAGAAACAGACATAAATACAGAGAATAGACTGACAGCTGTCGGGGGAGGGGTTGTTGGGGGGCTGGGTGGAAACAGTAAAAGGATTAAGCAAAAACAAACAAACAAACAAAAAAGCAACTCATACACACAGACAACAACATGGTAATTACCAGAGGGAAAGGGGGTTCGGGGGAGGTAGAAGAGGGTAAAGGGGGAATAAATGGTGACAGAAGGAGACTTGACTTGAGGTGGTGAACACACAATACAATATACAGATGATGTACTATAGAATTGTACACTTGAAACCTATTCAATTTTATTAACTAATGTCACCCCAATAAACTCAATACAAATTTTTTTTAAGTAAAAACAGGATCTCAAATGATTCCTTGGGTTAAATGACAGAAAATTATAAATTAAGTGAGATATAGTAGTCATTTAAACAATAGAAATACCCAAACAATTGGAAGAAGTGCTACAAATTGAATTATGAATTCAATAGCAACCATCAATTTAAAAAAATAATTCTATGGTCTGAAGATGACCTGGTGAAAACTATGGGGGGATGAGGGGGGTGGACATAGGCATTATCTTTTTCCTATCATTAAGAAATATGCCTTATTTTATTTTTTATTTATTTATTTATTTATTTTATCCTCACCCAAGGACTTTTTTTTTTTTTTTTGATATTTTGTTCAGATAGAGTGGGAGGGAGAGAGAGAAACATGGATGTGAAAGGGACACATCGAGTGGTTGCTACCCACACAACCCAACCAGGGCAGGGGACAAACTGCAACCGAGGTACATGCCCTTAGCGGGAACCGAACCCGGGTCTCTTGGGACCGCAGGCCGATACTCCAACCGCTGAGCCAAACCGGCCAGGGCTTAAGGACATTTTTTGATATTTTGTTCAGATAGAGTGGGAGGAAGAGAGAGAGAAAGAAGCATCAACGTGAAAGGGACACATCGAGTGGTCGCCACCCACACGACCCAACCAGGGCAGGGGACAAACTGCAACCAAGGTACGTGCCCCTAGCAGGAACTGAACCCAGGTCTCTCCAGACCGTAGGCTGACACTCTAATCGCTGAGCCAAACCGGCCAGAGCAAGAAATATACCTTATTTTATAATGAAAATGAAGGGACAAGCAGAATTTGCTTTTCTATATTTCCTATCATTATTTGATGACAAAATGAAATGTAGCCAACACAATTCCATTCAATTTCAACTTAACAGTATTTCATTTTTATACATATAATTACCATAATTAAAAAAAAAACTTGAACAAAAATGTAATACATTCAATCTATACTAATTTTTTATATCTTTACCAACATCTTGGAAATTTTAAATTAAAATACTTTAGATCATTTTTTCTGATTACAGAATTACTATGTACTCCTCACAGGAAACCTGTAAAATACAAAAGAAAGAAAACAGAATTCCCCATAATTTTACCAATTATAAATAAGTATTGTAAACATTTTATTTCTTCAATGGGTATTATCTTACATATTAGTAATAATGCTATTAATCAATATTTATTACACCCTTACTTTGAGCTATTTAACTAAGAGCTTTACAAATACTATTTCATTTTATCCTTACAACAATTCTATTTAAGTAGGTAAGTGAATATTGCCATTTTACAGATATGTCAATAAGAGTTCAAAGAGGTTAGGAGTTAGGAAACACACCTAAGGTCACAGGGATAAGTGGTACAGTCAAACCCAGAATTTTAGGTCATTATCTATACCACCATCTATAGACAGAGAGAGAATGCTGTATTCTAGTTGACTCTCAAGTAATTTCCAATAACATAAAAATTATAATATAATTTTTTAGAGGGCTATTTAATATGAACAGCATGTGAGTATACCATAATTTAACAATAATCACTCCTACTCTGGATCGGATTATTTTTGTATACTATTCAGTATAGTGTGACTCATTCAATACAAAAAATTAAAACAGATAAATAAAAGACTTGCTTGTCTATTGTAAATTAAAATTAAAATATATAATTCAACTTACTCTTTTACTGAGACAAATAACTGGCCACATACTGCAACCTAATGTGCAGCAGCAACAAAGGCAGCCACAAAGTAGCCAACGTACATTAACAGGAAGGTTCTTCTTAAGACAACTGTTAACTCTGTTGATGCTGGCTTTAAATTCTTCAGGAGCTACCTAAAAAAAAACAATTTAAGAAATAAGAACACTGCAATATTAATGTCAATAAACGTATCATCAGCATAAATATTCTTCCTAATTTGTTAGGAAAAAACCTTAGGTTTTTTTTTTAACTTTTGCTTTTTTATTGATTGATTGGTTGATTTTAGAGAGATAGGAAGGTAGAGGGAGAGAGAAACATTGATTGGTTGCCTCCCATACATGCCCCGACCAGGGATCAAACCTGAAACCTGGGTATGCACCCTGACTAAGAATCGAACTGGCAACCCTTCAATGCAGGGGATGACACACAACAGAGCCACACTGGCCAGGGCAAGACTTTAGTTTTAAGGTGTATAAATAATTAACAGACACTCACTTTTCCAGTTAATGAAGAAGGGAATTCTGATTCAAATTTGTTGCTCAGTCCAAATCTATTTAAAAAAGGAGAAAAACGTTATTGCATGTCATTGCTACACAAAATACACCATTTAACTTAATCAAGGGTCAAGTAAATAGCAACTTCATATACAGAATAACAATGAAAGTTTGAGACATAAAAACATTGTAATCAGCAATTTATGAAATGTAAAAAGCAATTTTAGCAGCTGGTTAAAAACTTTAGTATAATAAGAGGCTGAGAATGACTTATTTGGGGTTACCTTTGTGAGCCAAATATTAATGTAATGAAAAACAACACAATGTTGAATTTTGTCAAAATTACTAAGGTTCTTCCAACTAAGTAACAGAAAGCTAAAATCTCTATTAATTACTCTTTAGGTCAAGAGCATTTGTAAACATTCAATACAGCAGTAACATGTCTAAAAATACAAACTAATAAATTAACACTTTCTGAGATCTACACTGTTATTACAGCCAGAGAACGCTAAAAACACCCAGAACAACGTGGTAGCTGGCCTGGCTACTTAAACTTTCAAATTTTAAGACATTTGCTATACATACCGCCCCCCCCCCCCCAAAGAAATGAAACCAAGGTATTGCATTTTAATATCTTTAAGCATTTAAATGTCTGCAAAGATCATGAGAATTGACTGGGCACATAACTATTTCTTCACATAAGTTATTAGGAAAGAATAAAATACTCAGACATATTGGCAATAACAGATCACCTTGGAAATAAAAACTGAGATTCTTAAATATGACGACTTTTGTTGGATCCTGGAGCCAAATTTTTTCCCCAGTTTTACTGAGTTATAATTGACACATAATACTGTTTTTATTTAAGGTGTACAACATAATGATTTGATACATGTATATATTGTGAAATCATTGCCAAAATGAATTTAGTTAACATCTATCACCTCACATAGCTACAAAAATTTTTTGCAAGTCAAATAAAACACTTCTGTGGGTCAGGTTGTGGTTTGCATCATGATCTAGACTTCCCTACATATGGATGGTGGCATCTGAGACCATTTCATCATCATCTTAAGTACTTTCATATACTACTTATCAGCAGCATCAAAATATATTAATCTATCTTTAAAAACAATGACTACCATTTACAAAAAAGATTACAATAAAAGGACCTAGGTCCAAGCCCAAGTTCTTTTCACACTAAACATAAACTGGTAACCATTACTGTTTAATGTAATTCTGGCATTAATGCCATTCTCTTTCTAAGATTAGAAGATTGAGCTATACCTATTTTCTGTCTATGTGGGGGCCTCAGAGCAATGTGGTTCTACCTGAACACGCCCATACATGTGAAGAGCTTGCTGACAGCACTCAGTGAGGTCTCTAGATAATTTTCATGTATTTCTCTTCGGCAAACATTCAACAAATGTTTGAATACTCAACCTCCTCAATATAAATTTCCTTCTCTTATGTTATTTCCTTTGGTCTGGAGGTTTTCTCCTTCAATCAATAGTTTCCATTTCAACCATGTTTATTATTGCAATTAACCGTCTCCTTCCAACTGTTCTTTAAAATTTTTTAGAAAAGCCAACAACCAGATACTTCCAAGTCTCCCAAAGATAAATGTTTTCCTTACATCCCCAGAAATTAAATGTTTAAAACAGATTAAATTAGTTTGTCAAATACCAATAGTTTGCTAGTTGATATGTTAAGTTGGAGAGAGCAGTCCAGTATGAGTTTAACACCTAATTTACTTTCTTTCCAGAGCCTTGATACTTCCTTACTGGCTGCTGGGCTGAGTGTTGATGCTTTGCCCAGGGAGCACTATGAGCTAACTGCCTTGCTGTTCCTGAAAGCCGAGATTTAAGTAAGGCTAGTAGTTAGTTATTTGTCCAAGTTAAGAACTGGTAGTTCCAAGAACATTCTTTTGGAACTCAGTTCCTCTTGTCATATATTTTGTTAAGTTATATCTTAGGAGCAGATAATAATTCTTCCTCTTCCTTCATCTCACCCCAAAATAATGTCCCAGGAAAGATTACCAGTAACATGATTCACACTAGATAGGAGTGTTCAGCTTTTACAGCAGTCATTAACTTGATTTGGTGCTGATAATTTTTTCATTCCCCATTATATGCTAACAAAAATAATATTTTTATACAAAATACCTATTTTCAACACAAAAATCATTAATAAGGAAAGTATTCTTTTATATTTTCACATATTTTTTTAATGTTTCACAATGACACACAGTTGGATTCTTACATCTCTTCCTGCATTCAATCTGTGATATGCAATTTTGGTTGATGTTTATGAAGAAAATTGGGCCTTGCCAAATGAGTAGTTGAAAAATTGTCTATATTTTTCTTTGATACTATACCAAAACTTGACAAGTGGTAATCTCTTATGGTTTTTTGCAAAGAGGAATTGCAAAGAGGAAACTGAAAAGCTATCAATGAATTTTTAATACTCTGCTAAATTAAAATCCATTGGCATCTCTCATACTTTGAACAAAATTTTTTTTACCCAGACCTGATTTTGTAACTTCATACATTTGTCAAATGCCGACACACTTCATTTTTATGGTAATGGAATCATCATATTCACTAATATGATCACTGATCTCATCAGAAAGGTCTTTAAGCACTGGGAAGCTGTAAAGCTCACAGCAGATACAAATTTTCCAAAACTCTAATTTTCCTCTGAAAAGCTGAAATATTATTGATAACAAATGCTATACGTTGTTTTCCTTGAAGTGACAGTCTTGATTTAAAAAAAAAAAAAAAGAGGCTGAATGTTAACCAGTACTATACAAACAAAAGGGGGAAAAAAGTTTGTTTCATTTGAGCTACCACCTCTACCTTAAAAACTAACTTAAGTGCATATTATTTTAATAGATGGCTTTTTTTCCCCCTAGTTTTGAGTGTTAACAGTGAACATAAGCAATGGCTATAAACTGTAACAGGCATCCTTGGTATACAAAAGCAATAAAGGTGGAAGAAGGAAAAATAGGGAAAAGTGGGGAAGTAGAAGAAAAGAGGGTGATAAGAAATTTTAAAAAAAGAAAGTTTGGATTGACAAAGTGCTACCAATAACTATTTTATTTATCATTCAATACCTATTAATTACCAGTTCATTAGATGGTATGAAAGAAAATGCAGACATATGCTACATCTACATCTATTCCTACTACCTAAAAAACCTTTTCCTGAATCATAGTTAAAATACTCAGGCTTTAGAATTGATAAAATACTCCCAGCCAGTGTGGCTCAGTGGATTGAGCATCGTCCTGGTTGGATTCCTGGTCAAGGCACATGCCTCAGTTTTGGGCTCAATCCCCAGTAGGGGACGTGCAGGAAGCAGCTGATGAATGTTTCTCTTTCACATCGATGTTTCTCTCTCTCTCTCCCTTCCTCTCTCTAAAAAAGAAATAAAAAACACACATTTTTAAATATATATATATAAACTATTTTCAAAGAACGGCAAATATGACAAAAAGATAAAGTACATTAAAATTAAAGCTATTTTACTCTTACCTAGTACAAGTTTACAAATCTACTAGTAGTTGCAGAAAAGAGACATGTTTCAAATCACAGTTATTAAGCACCCTCTATGTAATACTTCATGATCACAAGGTCCTACTAAAAAAGGCTTATATGGCTTTAAAAAATGTTTTTAAAGATAGCATGTACAAGGTAAATTTTTACTTTTATATAACTGAGGTAATTTTGAAAGTTCGTGTAATATACCTAGGTAAAGCTTTGCAGAGGGACTGTAACTACACCTAAATCTAAGTGGCATCCTGAAAGGGGCTTGTTTTACTCATATCCTACCTACTGCCATTTCACTGTTACCTCATTCCTACAATCTATAGCCATAACTCAAAGTGTAAGCCACTCCAATCTGTTACCCTGCACTCCATCTTCATCCAATTCAGAATCTCCCTTTCCTGACAGATCCTTCCCTTTCCAAACTCCTTTTAATATTTAACTTTGGAGCCCTTAGTCTGTTTATCTGTTACCTAGATATATCCCCATACCTCTAAATATTTTTTGTTTTCACTTTAACCAAAAATCCTATTGAAATGACATTCTTTCCTTAGAAATCCTCAATTATAGCTCATTCCCTGGAGTCCATTTTCCAGATTCCATCTCCCATGTTCCTTTAATGCTTGATTATATTCTCTCTTGTACAGTCTTTGTCACACTGTTTTTAAATATTTTTTAATTGATTTCAGAGAGAAAAGGAGGGGAGAGAGAGAGATAAACATTAATCGGCTGCCTCCTGCAAGCCCCCTACTGGGGATCAAGTCTGCAACCCCAGCATGTGCCCTGACCAGGAATTGAACTGGCGACCTCCTGGTGCATGGGATGATGCTCAACCAACTGAGCCTCACCAGCTGCACCAGTCTTTATCACATTTTATTATAATTATGTTAACAAGCCTAACTCCCATAATTATCTTTATACCTCAAATATCTGCCCCAATGCCAGACATATGCAACAAACATTTGCTTAATAAATAAATCAATTTCCAAACCAGGAAAAATGTCTAATTTCACTAACTCCCCATTGCAGACTTCCACATCACTATTCTCTCTCCCATGAATTTGATTTATACCACATTGTTTCAAGTCCCAACTGTCATTTTCAGCCTTCCAGGTCACTCCCTCTGTGCTGGGGGTTCCTAAGACCAACCTCAGGTTTGATGATTGATTAGGACTCACAGGATTCAGCATATAGTTCTACGCAGAGCTACATTTATTACAGCAAAAGAAAAAGACACATGGGGTGAAGTACAGAAGAAACCAGAAGCAAGCTTGCAAAGGTCTCTTCTCAATAAAGACACACAGGATGTGCTTAATTCCTCCAGTAACTAGTTTTGACAATACATATACAATGTTGTCTACCCGGAAAGCTCCTTACTCAGTGCTTTGGTCACACAGATACTCTCTACTTAGCATGTACCAAAATTCCAGACTCCCAGAAGGAAAGTAGGTGTTCAGTATAAACTACATTGTACAGTTTAGGCATAGTGAGTCATTCTTATCAATTCTGGG